CTGCAAACCAAAAGACACAGTCAGTTTCCATGTGGCAGACTCTATTATTTATTACATATGAGAACTATGAACTTGATGATACACGTATGGACATATTAAGGAAAAAGAGGACACAGATACTGGAAAACTTGTCAGTACCATCTCATCAGCCATACATGTTGGTAAAGCAGCAAGGTACTGATGAATGGTTCTCCCAGAGATTGTTGCGTATTACTGCGTCAAATTGCAGAGAGATTTACATGGCCAATTCTGATAAAAGAATAATGGATGTTCTCAGAAGAAAGCTATGGGAAAAATCCCCAACAACATTTGCCATGCAGTATGGAATTGGGAATGAAGATCAGGCCAGAACAGACAAGCTGATGGAAGATACTGAATCAGATATGAAAGTCATACCGACTGGTATGTGGGTAAATCCACTTTTTCCAGAACTTGGATGTGATCCAGATGGATTAATATATCAGCCATCTCAACCTAGCAATAAATATGGTGTACTGGAAATAAAATGTCCAAAGGTGCTGGAAGATATTGACCCCAATAAAGCGAAGTCAAAGCTCTCTAAAAAAAAGTGGTCGTCATTATGCTTAAGAGAACATGATGATGGGGTGCTATCCCTGAAAACCTCGCACCAGTACTACCTTCAAATACAGATGCAGATGGGTGTGACTGGATTGTCTTTTGCTTACTTTGTTGTATGGTCTAAGAGGGGCATTTTCTATCAGCGAGTGACTTTTGATCATGAGCTATGGGGGAAACTAAAGCCCAGGTTACCACAATTTCATCAGTTTTATCTGTCCAGAATATTTTGAAATGAGAATTCCACAAGACCTGGAACCAGTACATTTAGAGTAAACTTTATGTACGTGTATGTACTGGATCTGTAGATTCTGGATTGATTGTTCGTTGCGGCAATGAAATTTGTTGTTTCCGAAAGGTCTGGACTAATTTTTATAAATATTTACAAGATTCAATGTTTTCACCATTTTTTATTTACAGTTTTATCATAAATATTTAAAAAAAATGTATTTACAGTATTTAACAATTAAGGGATGGGTCAATTAAATTTGAATGAGTTGGGAGTATTTATTATGCCAAGGACAGTTTTGCAATATTGCTCAGCTATTACTGCTAAATTATTTTTTTGTAAATATGCAACATTACATTTACATTGCACCAACAGTAAAAACAACAAATTCAATATTGTGCCATTTTTTATTTACTAATTCTGACATGACAAAGAAAACGTATTTATTCACTGAAAATAAAGGTACTGATAAATAAAATGCATTTCCCTTGACCTTTGTAGTGCTTTCATAAACACACGACAGATGCAAGTTTACACACAAATAATCTTGATCACAAAATCATATCCATTCCTAACTTTTGTTTATTTCTTGGTAGTTTACAGATCATACAAAGTGAATTTCAAATCTAAAAAAAAAATTGGGGGGGTAGCCATACTTGTTTCCATGGAAGGTAAATTAGCTAACCAGTGGCTCTTGAAAATTCACAAGACAGCCAACAACAAAAAACATTTGAGAAACTACTTGAGCAATAATCTGGATTTCTTCAATCTCTCAATTACCCTCTCTACATGAATTCTGACTTTGGCAATCTGTTTTGTTTCTGCCTCCTCCTGCACAGTAAACCTGTCACGCCCATGAAGAAGTCAGCCTTCTTATCAAACAGTACATTCCTAATTGTAAAGCCACGGTCAGCTAGAATAAGATCACCTGGTTCTAATTTGTCTAAAAACCCTGACTCAATTACTATGTTTCTATCTGACGCAGCACCTTCAAATAAATCTGACAGGTAAGTGACTGCCCCATTTGGAGCTATCCCTACTAAAGCTTTAAACGTTGGGTGAGATTTATAACTACTATACAAATTACCTTGTTGCTGAAAGTTGGTTGCTGTTTGGACAAAAATCTCTGTACAATCTATGATTGACCTGACATTTTTATACTTTTTGAAACACTTTGGCAAAGACTTCTTCAAAATATCTCGTGAAGGGAACATAGAATCTGAATCTGAATCTGAATCTGTGTGCTGAATTGAAGAAACATGTACCCAAGTTATCACAATACTAGAGACTTTGCCTTTACTAATTTGAAAACGATAAGCCAAATCTGAATGTAGCAATCCTAAACGAAGTCTAACTAGGGTTAAAAACAACTCGTTTATTGGTTCAAATTTCCGTTTTGGACCAGGTGATTTCTCATTATGTTTCATTGGTCTGCTCCATAAAGACAATTTGTTTGTTGCTCGTCCCAAAAAATCCCACAAACAAAGTAACTGCAACCAAGTAAGCCCAGTATAAAATTTACATTTCACATCATCATCACTGACATCTTCTACAGAGAAATGTTTCTTTTTACTGGAATTGTTTTTCTTACTTTTCAAGTCCATAAGTTCATTTTTTAAGCACAGATTCTCAATTTAGAGAGCAACAATATCAGCATCTTGACTGCGATCTGTCTGTGTTGATGCATCGTTCATTTCTCGTATTGATTGAATGCCTATTGAGTTAGTTGGAACAGAATGCTGTCATCGCACGTCACAAGCTATAATAAATACATAAATGAAATGAACAATCGTTTGCCAGGTGACAACAACCGTGGACCAGTGACCATGGAATGAGGTCCTCTATAAGGCTTTTTTTTTTTTACCCACAAATGCAATGCATTGTGGGAATTTTATTTTAAAAGAATTGTACCTGGGAGGTATAATTGCTTTTAATTTTTATTGAACCTTAATAAATAAAAGAATACATAACTAGTAATTTCCAACTTGTCTAACATAGTCTGGCATATCATAGTTCTTTGTAGCAACACTACTGAAATCGAGTCTACCTAGATCAAATGAACCAATTGGTGCTCTTGTAATACCAATACCTACATGAGATTTATTCTCGAGTGTAGGATTTCTGTAAAAGATATTGTTCCATCTAGCTGGTGTACTGTCTTCTGTAGTTGCTGTGAATGTATCAAATCCTATGACCTTTGGAATGGTATGCTGCGGACCAGAACATGGTATATATTCGATGACTGTAGTAATTTGCATGTCCATTGTCCAGCTGATATTTAGCAAATTGCCTTCTGAATTTGCATATTTTTTAAGTGTCATCCAAATATCAGGTGGTTTATCGCACCTGAACTTGTATTGTCTGGTTCCGACAGGATTGGTCATTCCACTGGTCACTAGATTTCCTCCGTCCCCTTGATCTATGTCCAGGCCAGTCTATCAATGGACAATAGGTATGCCATGGTAATGTTAAATCTAGAACAGGTTCAACTATAGTTCCTTGAACAATGGAATGGTCACTATCGTTGATCTTATCATATGTTGTTGGAACGTCTGGAACCGGTTCTTCTCCTTTGGATTGAGGTTGGGCTTGTCGCTCTCTCCATCTATGTCGTTTGCTGCATACCATGGTGATGGTTTGTCGTAGCTGTATACCAGTGTATCTCCTGCTGTAACTGGTACAACATTACCAGTTGCAAATGGATTCCATTCTTCGTGTATCAGGTCTAGCAATTGTTGTCTGTGGTTTTTGGCTCTTTCGTCTGATCCTCTGGTTTCTTCGCTTGGCATTCTCAAATCTCTCTGTATAGCAGTGTTTTGTGTTTCATGTGCATTTACTCCGTTTTCTACGTAATTAGGTTTTCCAATTAATTCTGAGTTTAATGCCATTATTGTTGAGAATTACTGAGTATTCGTCAGATAGATTGAGTTCTAAGGATTTCATTGTTAATCGGTCTCTGTAGTCTTGGTATGTGTATATTCTTGTTCGCCATTCACCCAGGTCGTCAAATACAGGATAATGTTTCTTTAATTCTTTAATTAAATTGTTTTTCTTGTTCTTCAGCTTGTGCCATTGGAATTGTGGTGTTAATTGACCACTGTCTTTGTATACAAACAATACTGGTTTTGGTATATGTAGTATTGATTTTTTGTTAGTCATGTCTGTTTCAGCCAGTGGTACAATATTTGTAAACTTGACTGTGTGTGATTTAATTCTCCAGCTCTTTGCAAATTGTGCCAAGTAGTGAGCTTTCCTTGAATCGTGTGTTAATATAGGATGATCGTGTCCTACGTATGACCAAGGTGGTTTGTATCGTATGTAGTTTTGTCGTTTGAATTTATGGTCGTGTATTGCTGTTTCCCCCGTCCCATGATCGTGTCCGGCATGGGGTACTAAATATGGTATTCCAGCTTGTTGTCTGTCAATATATATTGGCATTGTGTTTGCAAATGTTAAATCTGTTGGTTTGTCGCCTGGTCCATTGTTAGCAAACATCGGCATTTCATACCAGCCAATTCCTTCAGTGCCAACTGCAGATGGGTTTTCATCTTGAGCCTCATCTTCTTGCATCGGCTCTTCGCCCGTTCTCGCTCTTTTGCTTGGCGGCATTTCTTCTTCTTCGTTTTCTTGTCCTTGTTCTTCTTCTTGATCTTCTTCTTGACCTGTTTCTTCACCACTTTTGGCATTCTGTTGTTTTGGAGTGTTGTATTTGTATTTTCTTTATTGTGTTTCATATCATCCATGACATCGAATTCGTTATTTCTGTTTATATTTTGTCCCCTTGGATATTTATTGTCATCAATTTGGTATTTTTCAAAGTCTTGTATTTCGCCAAATCTAAATTTCTTATATTCTCTTGTGTTTTCAATTGTCCAGTCTGGATCATAGTCTCTTTTTCTACTTAATTCTTGAGCAATTCTATATCTAGCATTTTTTTTATATAACCCCGTTCCGAAATATCTTTCATTGTGTTCGTCTTCTTTTATAATTTCCATTACTCTGCCAGCCATTCGTAAATGATATTGTTTTGTTGTTTCGTCGTATTCTGAATTATCATATGGTGTTGCTTCTCTGTTTTTTGTAATGCTATATTTCTTGGCCATTTGTTTTTTATCAAAGTATGGGTCACGCATTACTTTATCTGTGTCAACTACATAGTTGTCTATGAGTTGTTTCATTTGTATAGAGAACCCCATTATATAGACTTTCCAGTTAGGTATTTTTTGGATTCTTTCGACAAATATTTTATCTGCCACAGAAGTAGGGATTTTAGGATTGGCATACTGGATATCGTGTTCCTTACATATTTCATCGATTTCATCTTTGGCCTTTTTATATTCTTTCAAGTCGACTGACAAGGGCCACAATATTCATATCCCGGAAATGAAAATTTAAACATTATAACCTACCTATGTGTGTGCGTGTAAAAGTAATGAAACTGTTGTATTAGTTTTGAACATTTAATGGATATCTAACTGATCAAGTACAGTAAACACGAACGGTTTGGTAAAAAAGTTGTAAGTAATTAACAAGTAAATAAACATTGTGAAATTGTTTTTAAATATCGTACTAATTAAACCGATTAAGTACACGTGCGTTATAGGATTGTTATAAATTCTGTATAGTAATTCTTCAATTATCGACTTCATCTTCTATGATTTCAGTCTTCCTTTGAGATGTATATTTTGTGCAAGCCTCGTCTTCGGAAATTTGGACCACTTTATCTGTAATTAGATGTGAAGATTTTCCATCATTACTGTTATTGTATCTGTAAAGGTAAATGATATGGTTATTAACATTTGGATATTTTTCGTTTTCGTGTTAAAATCATGTTTTTACCTGGTGTTCTTACAATTTCCCATTGATGGTCTCTGTCCTCATCTATTACTTCTCCATCTTTATATAAATCATTTGGTTCAGGTTTTGGTGGGAAATCAGCAAATATGTCGGGATTTGGTTTTAGAATAAGGTTGCCATCTGTGCTGTCGAAGTGTTGACAGCCCCATAGTTTTTTCTCTTCCCAGATCTGATTGTTGTAGACTATTGGGAGCATGGTATCCAGTATGTGTAAAGATTTACATCCCTGGATTCGCAGGTATAGTAGTGTATGCGATGTTGTATCGTTTACAACATGATGGCATAGCGGTTTATGATGGAATAATTTCGCGTTTCTTGCTTCTACTGGAATCACTGGAAGTAGCGTGTTCATCATTGTGTACACCGGTTTTCTATATATTATAGTACCATAACCCCACAAGCGATCAGTATAGTCGACGTATCCAGTGTCGATCTCTTCTACTATCTTCACTCTTGTGTCTTTGGTATAATTGGTAAAGTATTTAGCCGGCCACATCGTACATGTACGCCATTTGGTGATATTGTCTTGTACCAGTTTCAGCTTTTCAATTCGTTCAATTTCTGCCAATCTTTCCATGAGGTTCCCGTAATAGATGGCACTCTTACGGTCTCTGGCGATGGTTAATTCTATAATATCCCACATAGGTTTGGGTCTCCATATTGATGTTGGGATTGATTCTGTTTTATGCATATTGACCATTGCATTGAAATGCTGCTCTTCGATTGTGAAGTTTTGACAATTTAGGTTGAATATGTCTTCACAGCTCTTCCATTCATCTTGTCTTTTATTCAATTCCGTGAAGTCTACGTAAGGCTTGTCTTGTTCTTCGAATAATTGAAAATACCTTTCTCCTGAATATTCATGTCTTGTACGGTAGTTTCTAGGCTCTATTGGTTTCACTTGGTTTCACTTTTGGCTCTTTGAAAAGTTTTTTAATTTCGTCTTGTTCTTCCATTTCCCATTCTTTTATTATCTTTTCCGTTTCGATCATGTGTTCGTCTTTGTAGCGTGGTGCCATCTGATTTCTGGGCTTCTTTTTAATGTGCACCCATTTGCTGTTTCGCCATAAATGATCGAGCTTTTCTTCCATGTCTGTATTAGGTGGCCACTCTTAATCTATGTCTAGCATCCACGTGTACATATTTGGGTTTAGATCTTGTTCTATAGATTCCAATTCGGGCATTTCTACAATATCGTCTTTCATTAACAGCATTCTGTTTTTAAAAGCTTTCTCCTGTGATGATACTTGATACCACAAGCATTTGTTGGCCGTTATATATATAGGAGTACGTTCTAGAAGGCATGGCGCTTTACCTTTACGATTTATCATCGTGTGCATTCCTTCAAAGACCGACTTTGCCATTTCCGCGTTGTGTTCTGAGAGTATGAACTCATTCGCCATAGCGATGCGAGCGCTTAAACAGTTCTCGAACATGAAATTAGACGCGCTCTCGTTAGACGTCACAATGTTGCCCCAGAAACGGGCCACGTCATGGAGCGGACGCATTACCCAAGACTTCCCGCCGTTTGAAGCTCCCATCAGATAAATAAGATTTTTCTTGGGCTGTTTTTTGTCGAACCAAGTAATTATATCATAGAGGAAGTCCCACATGTTCAAATTCTGGTGGTCACACCATTTTGTGAACCAAACTATGGAGTTTTCTACACCCAAATAATTATTACGGTCGTTGTATTTTTTGCATGCTATATCTCGTAACTTAAAAGCCAACTCACCGAATTCTAATCGTAGTATTTCGGATCTTACTGTATCAACTGCAGTTCGGTAGAGATATTCGGATACTGAGCGACTAATGAACCGATGCCATTTGTCCTTTGTTTCTTCACTTGCGTCTTCGTCTTCAGTTACCAGTCGGCCTAAATTTGGGAGATCAGTTGGATTGTATTTTGTTATTAAGTCCTTCACGAAGTAAAGCATTTCTTCGTTGGTACTTCTTTTGATTGCCCTTTCCTTTCTTTTTTCTTCCATCGCTGCAATGTCTTCCACCGATGTATTGTGGAGCAGTAACTTCTCTAGTGGTGACTTGTTCTTGGTGTATAGCCATTTTTTCTCTTTTGATGGACCCTGGATGTACGCCGCAAAACTTGTCGGCACTTTACATATTTTGGAGATAATATGAAAGTTTGGTTCATTCTCCTCCCATGACATTTTAGCTTGGCGAAAGGCTGCCAGTTGACGAACGTCGCTGTCATTTCCTGCCGTCGCCATGACATGTACGTGAGAGCACGGGTCTGTCACCCCGTCGTGGTACGCACCATAAGAGTCGACGCCCTTTACCTCTAAATATTGGAATAACATGTCTGTTGCTCGTATTAATTCACTGTTTAAATTGACCATGCCGATATCCATTTTTTCGGGTACTACACGAAACTTAGTAATAAATATGATGTACTTGGTCTTCGGCTCTGCATCGTTTTTAGCTGTTAACCAGTTCTTTTGTTGCTGTGGTACTGCTCCACTGGTACTTGGGTTGCCCATGTATTCTTTGGCTTTGATAAACCGATTGTATGACATTGTAGTCTTGTAACATTGCGATAATTAGCGAGAGAGATTTACCTGACGTCCTCTGTCTTTGAAATCCAGCGGGTAACTGACAAACAAGTTCAAATCATTCCATCTCACGCGCGTCGAACGTCGCGCGGGTATAAAAATAAAGCGTGCGTCATTGGGTTGTTCCATTGATCACGCGTTCGATGCGTGCGCGCTACGTGTTCTTTATTTCTTGCTGCGTCACAAACCTTGGCACAGTGCCAAGAAAAAAAACCCCTATAGAGGACCTCATTCCATGGTCACTGGTTACGGTTGTTGTTAACAACCACCATGGTAAATAATATTCCCACCTTGGTTTTCCTCCATACTGACGTCACACATCCGGCTCTTTAGTGTGATGTCTCTTTTATATAAAAACCCACGGTTGTTGTTGAAATCAAGTGAGATCACTAAGAAATCGGGCGCTGGCGACCTTTACGATTTATCATCGTGTGCATTCCTTCAAAGACCGACTTTGCCATTTCCGCGTTGTGTTCTGAGAGTATGAAAAATAATTCACATAGTATTGAAACTCTTGCTCGAAAAAACATCAACTAATCCATAGCTAATTATGGGAAACAAAATATCGGAGATTAACTCAATACTGTGATAAAATATGTCTGATCATTTATTTAATTAAATATGAAAAACATCTTTCATGCAAAAAATCTCAGATTTTAATTTCCACATCTTATTTTTCAGTATTCTGACCCCATCAATTTTTCTTTGTACAACAAACAAAATATTGTTTGCCAAATAAACTTTTTTTTAAATTATTTTTTTTAATTAAGTGATGACATAAAAATACTGAAGTATCCGAAAATACAATCTCATTTTGAGCAAGGTCAAGAAGTGTATCAGCCATCTCGTTGTCAATTCCATCTTCAACAACAGTCTTTCTTTTCCCTGGTGGTGGTGCAGCCTGACGATTCGTGGGTGCTTTTCTCTTCTTCATTTGTTGGACCTATGTCAATATATGGAAAAATGTATAAGCACAACGAAAAACCGTCACAGATATTAAATAAAATTTTAGAGGATTTTTCATATTTTTCATACACGCAATATCTGCAAAACATAATCGTGGTTTCGCGGTGCGTTTAAAGGATCCATGCGTCTTTTTCAGGTCGGTCAGTATATTTATATTTTATTGGTCTGCAAATATACCAGTCGATCTGGCGTACGGAACCTAAAACGCTGTTAGCGAAAACAAGATGGCGGACGAAACTAGTGGTGGGGAAACCTACTATTCTAGTGTATTTACCTGCGTCGAAGTGGCTGTGGCTGGAATGGGATCTGGATGTTCAGCTGTAGGCCCCTCTCCACCAATAAAATGCAGCGAACAAATATACGTGTCCTTGGTTATGTTGCTGACCGTAAAATTTTCGCGACGACATGCCCTTACCCATCTTAAGGACTTTTCCATTCCAAGGTGTGGTTTTGGAAACGGGATAAAATACACTCCTTTCATCGATTCTCTATATCCATACCGTGAATCAGAACGGCACAATCCATAACAACAATGTCGAGTAGCCACCATAGTAAAGTTATATTGTGGAAGAAAAGCGATTAAAAATATCCACAGTAACAGACGCACAGCTTTGGTTTGTTTGTCCGAATGTGTTTCAATTTGCTGCGCATGCGTGGTAGCCAATTACGTCATTAGTTATTTTTAGCAAATTGACACAATTGCAACCAACGCTATTGCGTATTTCCTATAGGCCAGCAAATCTGTCATTTTGAACACCGTAGTCTTTGAAAATCTGAAATTTTCTGCCATATATG